ACTAATTGTTTAAATGCCCAGGGCCTTAAATTCTATTTTATTAATAATATGTTACTTGCATAAAAACAAGGCCTAAACACCAAAGCTTTCTCTTCCTTTCTAGCAGGAAAAAAAATAATTCTATAACTCTCAGTCTTAATCTGTCTCTCCCTACTTCTATCCCCTTTTTATCCAATAGATCCCAGATCAAATGTTTGTCTTCCACACTTTCCTGACCTCTAATTCTAATTATACCCTTCACACTTTCTCACAGCACCCTATTATTTTTATGGCACACATCTAGCTTATAATGTATTTTTAGTATTTGTTTAATAAAATCAGATTTGCCTAGTATACTGTAAGCATGCTCTTGAGATCACGAATAATGTTATTTTATTCACAATTAAATTCGGGTTTTATAATGAACCTAAAAACCAGACTTTTGAAATACTTCCTGTTTGAGGGTAGAAAATAGATTGAGTTCATTTTCAACTTTAAGATCAAATTTTCAAAGACAGATAAGAGAAAGTGGCTTTTATCCGGACCTAAAAAGATCAACACAGCTACATGAACAATTCCATTTCTGCAAGCACTGGAAAAACATATCATCTTATATGTGAGACTAGAAAAAAAATGTTTTTAAATAAAAAATTTTAAAAAGATGACATAAAAGTGGAAAGGTATCTGTTAGGGAAGGAGAATAGATCCCGGGGAGGAGAGCATTAGAGAGGATAGTGAGCACATTATAATCATATATGGAAATGTCACAATGAAACCCATTCATCTGTACAATTAAGATGCACAAATAATTATAATAAAGAAGTCAGGAAACCTGATTCAACAGAAGTTGAATTTTTTGTTACAAAATTACTTCTTTCATCATTTATAAAAAATACTCTTCATAGTGTTTAGTTATTTAAAAAACTGTCCTTCACAAACACTTTATAATGTGTTCCTTTTCTTTCGTTTCCCTCTCTTCTTTGGCCATAGTCCTGGTTATTTGTAGAAGAATAATTTGTGAGAACTGCTGGATTAGATGTGCTGAACACAAGCTGTTAATGGGATTGTCAGACTTCCAAGCATTTGACTTAGACAATCTCCCTCCTTGAAAAACTTGAAAAGAAAAATGCTATTTCTTTGTGTAATCCACATCTCAAAGAGAAGGTGTGTTTTCTCTCTCACTGCCTTTCACCCTTAAATTGCTTGTTAAAACTTGGAGTTGTTCTCATGCCCCAACACAACACTTTTTCCTTTGCCTCCAAGCCATAAACCTAGCTGAGACTCCAGTAATCTCTGACCTGAGCTGAAGTCCTCCTTCTTTCCTTGCTTCGGGTTTTGCCCTCTGCCCAGAAGATCACATTACTTGCTATCACCAGCTTCCAGTAGTTTTCCACAGCCTCAGAATTTAAAATAATAATAATAAAAAAAGTCTTCCCTCAAAGCACTTTGTCAGAGCTATTTCGAAGACTCTGCATCTCCCTTCAATTGCTTTTATTGCTTCATTTATTAGCTACTCACAACCCAGAGAATAAACTGTTCAGTACAGCTCTCTCCAAGTTCTCTCAACAGTCAGACCTGAACTTAGAATGGCCTTTCCTTCTCAGCCTCCTTTCATCCATAGTATAGACTGATCCTGGTGATCCTACCCGAAGGAACCTGACCTTATTTGGAAGCATGATTTTTAGCTCCCTCTTTCCATACTGCTCCAAGAGGTAAAGCATTTTTAGTAGATATTAATTTATCATATTAATTTCTGCAGTTGCTGGTGCCAGCATGAAACTCGTAGAGAGAAGGCTGTGTGCACCCTTGACGTAATTGTCTGCAGGGCTCAGGGTTGACATCAGCCCAGATAAATGGTCTAGATGAAGTGGGCAGTATCCATTCCTGTTGCACAGTGCTATATACAGTTGAGAAAGTGTTGGAATGTTTCTGAAATTATTTTTATATATATTTTTTAAATCACAAAACTTATTTGTGGATTACTTGTTTTAAAGTAGCACTACTATAATAAAAATATTATAAGCAAAAAAAAAGATAATTTCACTCATGGAATGATGGGATATAAGGGATATGAGGGACATTTGCATTCTCTGGGGACCCTGGGTCTCAAATCTATACATTTCTTCAAGTCCCATCTCATTCTTTCTCTCTGAAGAATGGCCTTCTGCCTCTCCTTGCAAGTGGATTAATCAAGCTCTGTATTCTGTTTATCTAGATTCTGTGAGTCTCACTCATAAAATACAGTCCACCCACACCCAATCCAAACTCCTCATCCTTGTTGAAGGGACAGAATTGTGAGATCTGAAAACAACTAAGCAGATCCTGTAGGGTCAGATTTTCTGGGATCACACTGAACAGTTTTTCTCCAAGAAAGCACAGGGCTAAGAGAAACTAGAGGCAGAAAGAATAACCTATGTTTTAAAAAGGCACAATATTTAAATAAATATTAAAGAAATGCTTCCAAAACATCATATAATTGGCTTAGATATGTTCTTATACAAAGTGAATAAGCTGGAAAAGTAGGTTTGGAGGGGATGCAGGAGTCCAAAGGCTCAGATGGCAGTTAAGCCTCTGGTACAATCTTCAAGGTGTGAGTTCATAAGGGCTGGAGTGGAGCTGGAGTCACAGACATGGTAGTAGGGCAGCAAAGATGAGGAATGCATAAACAAGAGCAACTCAGACATAAGCAAGATTTAGCATCTAAAAGGAGAGGAGAAATAGGGGGGAAAGGATACAATCACTGTGATACAGTTTGGATATTATTAATAAGCATTAGAAAATTGAGACCAGCTAACTAAGAAACAATCCACACAAAGGTGATTCATTAACCCATGGAAGTAGATGAAATCACTAACTAAAGAAAAGAGACAAGTTAGAATCCCACATGGGTGTAAGGAAAGAATCATAGACGGAAGCCAAAGAGGAGTTTTCTCAGTGTACAGATAACTGCAAGCCTTATATAGTGTCTAGGAAGACAGTAGTGAATTGAGAAGCTGTCATTCAGTTAAGCAATTAGGGAGTCAATGGTGATAATTAAGAGAGTTTCATGGAGGTTGCTTATACTTTTAACCCATATTGCAAAAAGTGAACTGAATGAGGAGTAGATAGCAAGACGTTAAATGCAGTTTATTTATTCTATTTAGAGTACACCCCTAATAATTTTAATAATAAAGAAAAAAGAGCATGGTAGCCTGAGGTCCAAAGCAGATTCTATTTCCTCCATATTTGACAGCATGCACAGTGTGTATATATATATTGCCAGAAGTGAAATGGTTTGAATTTTCCATTTCACTTTATCTATTCACTTATCAACTGACAAAGTACACTCTGTGGGTTTATGAAATAAATGGGGTCATTAGCCTTGGTTCTAATGAGAATTGATAGTATTTTTTGCTGTAATGAACAGTTGACATACAAATACTTTGCATGTGAAAAGGCCTTCAGATAGTCAGAAGCTTCCACTGTTTATTATCTTATATTTAGTGTTATTTTCTTGGCAGAAAATATCATTTGGATGTGATTCTATCATCATTAGAAGAGGAATACTGGCTTGTAACAGACTCCATATTCTCCTTCTGGAAAAATGATAATTACCCCATCTTAACTTTCCCTGTCCTGGCCCTAATATCCTTCTGCACTCTTTTGCTCCTTTACAATTATAGCCGTTTTCTACTGGCTGGTCACCAGCAAATTTCCATGTTATGAAACTATAGGGTATTTTGTTTGAAAGAGTATTCCATGTCACCAGCCAACACTACAGAAGCCCTGTGGTTGCTGAAACAGCTCAGCTGGAAAACTTCATAGCGTGCTTGTTTCTCAGCAGCACATATTCAAACGTTGTTTAGAGAACATTTATATTCTTTGCACACCCAGGGGCAGAACTCAGCACAGTTGCATACAAGTATTTGATTCCTAGCCCTGAAGCCCACTCTTCAGTCCTAAGTAAAACAACTCCTACTTCCCAAAGCCAACTGGACACTGTGGTTGTATTTATCAGACCAGAATAACGTTTTCTGTATAGGACCAGCTAGTAAATATTTCAGGCCTTGCAGGCCAAATACAGTGTCTGTTGCAACTATTCCACTCTATTGTGGTCCAAAAGCAGATAGGCTATAACTAATTGTGAGATTTTAATCCAATATAACATTATTTACGAAAACAGGCAGCAGACTAGATTTGACTCACTGATTTATTGTTTACAAACCCCTGCTCTAGGAAAGGCCTCATGAATGGGATATATTATTTAACTATTCTTGGCACCCAAGATGGGGAAACCAAATACATCATTGAAAAGATACAATATTCACAGTTGATTCCTGGTCAGTTCTAGTATTTGGATCAGACATTTGTACGCCCTGTCAAAAACTTTGCCATATGATCTTCCATTCTTTCTGCCTGTGCTTTTCCTGTGCAGTGGCGTACCACTATCTCATTTCTCAGTCCTTCCCATGGCTCAGGTTAATCAGCAGCCCCATTTAGACTCATTCTACTGGCTGCTGACTTTGCATCTCTCCAGTGGAAATTATATTTCACATTTGTTTCTGTGGGTGTATAGAAACATGTTTTCTAATGAACTTGTATCCAGCAATCTAACTAAATTCATTTATTAATTCTAAGGCTTGTCTTTCAGTTCTTGTGAATTTTCTTCATAAGCAATCATATTGTTTACAAATAACAAATGTTAAATCTCAGTAAGTATGCTATAATAAAAAAACAATACATGTGTTAATTAAATGGTCACATGTCTATTGGTGAAAGGAATGAAAAGCAATTATTCTGTAAGGTTTTTAAAAATAGTTTCAAAGATTTCTTTTTTTCTGTGGTAGCAAGTTTTTGCAATAATCTTGAATGTGAATATCCAGGACCCTGTATGATATATCATGCTTAGGGTTTCAGGGTTAAGTCCTGACTGGAATACTCACTTACAAAGTCCAAGTTTCAACATAATGTTTATTTTGGCAATGCCCTGGGTTATCGTTAGGTCTCTGGGATACACAGTGCTACTTTGTATTAGCTAGCAATAGGGAAAGGAACCTTGTTTGGATGATCATAGAAACCCGCTTCACTGTGCACACCTATCATTTCCTCAATCATTTGCAGATTAAGACCCTGGGCCTCACAAACTCTATTTAAAGGTGAGTGACCTGATTATTTAATTTTTAATCTTAATATTTTAAAATCACAGATCACGATTCTAACAAACTCTTCCATGTGTGAAAGTACATCACTCAGATGTACTTTCTTTCAAACCAAGAAATTATTTGTCTTTCTTTCAAACCAAGAAATTCCTTTGTTTAAATCTAAAACAAAACAAAACAAAAAAAAAACATCAAATGTTCTTTTTTTTTTTTTTTAAATGCCCTCTCAGAGGACATTTGAGATCGAGTTTCTCTCTGAGTTAAACTACAGCTAAAAGTGAAGCAAACACATTCTTTAACCAAGGTCAGTCATGTGCCTAGACTCCCTAGCCTACTCTAGCAATGGTAAATATAATTTTTTGAGCCTCTGGGGCATGTACAAAAATAAAAATAGGAAATAAGAGATTTGAAAAGTTTACAAGAAGTTGGACAGGAAGAACCCACAATTTGGAATAAACCAAAGCATCCTTTGAAATGTGTCAGGTTAGATATGCTGAACTGCCTTGGGGACGTAAGGCTCATGTGAGTCAAGGACACCAGAAGCTAACAGGCTAGAATAAGGAGGACCTTCTTCTGAACTAGAATTCTCTACTGCTCACAAAGCCAGTTTCATGGTTGAATGAGATAACTGAATTTTGGAGAGTTCAGGAGGGGACAACAGAAATGAGAAGACTGCAGAATTGCATGCTCTTCTCCCACAGCCCTGAAGCAGAAGATGATTCCTAACTCTCCCTCCAGTCACTTAACATCGGATTCCTGTTGTATGACAATTGTAAACAAGTGGGTAAAATGCCAGCATGAACACTAGCTACCTCCAAAATATCTAGAGATATTAGAAATTAATAAATAAGGAACATGTGGTGAGCTGTTTAAACAAAAAAGCTTTTATTTGAACAAAAATTTTCCTGACACAAAACAATGTTTATCCATAACTGCAAGGTATTTTTAAATGAAAAACTAACTAGCTCTTCTTTTCACCTCATCAAGCAAGTTTTAATGTTACCATCTTAATTTATAATGTTTTCCAAATTGCCTCAGAATACTTATAACTAAAGAAGAGATCAAAATATCTTACATAGGTTCTGTTCTTGCAGTTTTTGATGATAATTGAAATAAAATCCACCTATACCTTCAAGCTTTTATAAATTAAAACAGATAATATCTGCTGAAAACTGAGAACTGATCATTTCTTCCAGTTTCACTCCTGCCATCATTTCCATGCTGACCACACATAAGCAACAACAAACATGAGTTTAGATTTTCTTTTTTTTAATGAATATATTCTTTTTAAAAATTCTAATTAGTTATACATGACTGTAGAATGCATTTTGACACATCATACATAAATAGAGTATAACTTCTCATTCTTCTGCTTGTACATGATATAGAGTAACACATGTAATGTAATCATATATGCACATAGGGTAATAATGTCCAATTTATTCTACATTCCTTCCTACCTCCATACCCCTTGGCCTCCCTTCACTCCCCCCTCTGTCTAATCCAAACATTATTCTTCCCTAGCCACGCCCAACCTTATTGTGAATTAGGAGCCACATATCAGAGACAACATTCAGCCTTTGGATTTTTGGTTTTAGCTTATTTTGCTTAGCAGGATATTCTCCAGCTCCATCCATTTACCAGCAAATGCCATAATTTCATTCTTCCTTAAGGTTGAGTAGTATTCTATTGTGTATATATACCACATTTTCTTTTGTCTTTTCATCTGTTGAAGGGCACCTAGGTTGGTTCCATAGGTTAGCTATTGTGAATTGTGCTGCTATAAGCATTGATGCGGCTGCATCACTGTAGTATGCTGATTGTGAGTCCTTTGGATATATGCTGAGGAGTGGGATAACTGGCTCAAATGGTGGTTTCATTCCAAGTTTTCTGAGGAATCTCTATACCTCTTTCCATAGTGGGGCACCAATTTGCAGTCCCACCAGCAATGTATGAGTGTACCTTTTCCCCCACATCCTCAGCAACATTAATTGTTGCTTATGTTCTTGATAATTGCCATTTTGACTGGAGTGAGAAGAAATCTCAGTGTAATTTTGATTTGCATTTCTCTAATTTCTAGAGATATGGAACATTTTTCCATATGTTTGTTTATCAATTGTATTTCTTCTGTGAAATATCTATTCAGGTCCTTAGTCTATTTATTGATTGGGTTGGCCATTTATTTATTTAAGGGTGTTAAGTTTTTTTTTTTTTTTTTTAGTTCTTTGTATACCCTGGATATTAATGCTCTATCTGAGGTGCATGTGGTAAATATTTTGTCCCATTCTGTAGGTTCTCTATTCACATTTTTGATTGCTTCCTTTTCTGTGAAGAAGCTTTTTAGTTTGATTCCATACCACTTATTGATTCTTGATTTTACCTCTTGTGCTTTAGGGTCTTGTTAAGGAAGTCAGTTCCTAAACTGACCTGGTGACAATCTGGGCCTACTTTTTTCTTCTATTAGGCACAGGATCTCTTGTTTTAGCATCTAAGTCCTTGATCCACTTCAAGTTGACTTTTGTGCAGGGTGAGAGAAAGGGGTTTAATCTTATTTTGCTACATATGGATTTTCAATTTTCCCAGCACCATTTATTGAAGAGGATATCTTTTCTCCAATGTATGTTTTTGATACCTATGTCTAGTATGAGATAACTGTATATATGTGGGTTTGTCTCTGTCTTCTATTCTGTACCATTGGTCTATGTGTCTGTTTTGATACCAATACCCTACCACTTTTGTTACTTTGGCTCTACACTATAGTTTAAGGTCTAGTATTGTGATGCCTCCTGCTTCACTCTTCTTGCTAAGTATTGCTTTGGCTATTCTGGGTCTATTATATTTCCAAATGAATTTTGCGATTGCTTTTTCTTGTTTTAGGAAGAGTGTCATTGGGATTTTAATAGGGATTACATTAAATCTGTATAATGCTTTTGGTAGTTTGGAGAATGTTAATTCTGCTTATCTGAGATCATGAGAGATCTTTCTGTCTTTGAACATCTTCTTCAATTTCTCTATTTAGTGTTCTGTAATTTTTTTTTGTAGAGGTCTTTCACCTCTTTTGTTAGATTACCAAATATTTTTTAGGCTATTGTGAATGGAATGGTTTTCCTAATTTCTTTTGCAGTGGACTCATCACTGATATATAGAAGTGCATTTGATTTATAAGTGTTGATTTTATATCCTGCTACTTTGCTGAATTCATTTATTAGTTCTAGAAGTGTTTTGGTGTATTTTTTTGAATATTCTAAATATGGAATCATGTCATTGGCCAATAGTGATAGTTTGAGTTCTTGGTTTCCTATTCCTATCCCTTTAATTTCTTTCTTCTGTGTAATTGCTCTGGCCAGACTTTCAAGGACAATGTTGAATAAAAGTAGTGAAAGAGGTCATCCTTGTCTTGTTCCAGTTCTTAGAGGAAATGCTTTCAATTTTTCTCCATTTAGAATGATGTTGGCCTTGGGTTTAGCATATGTAGCTTTTAAAATATTGAGGTATGCTTCTACTGACCCTAGTTTTTCTAGTGTTTTGAGAACAAAGGGGTGTTATATTTTGTCAAATGTTTTTTCTGCATTTATCGTTATGATCATCTGATTCTTGTCTTTGAGTCTACTGATGTGATGCATTACATTTATTGATTTCCATAGGTTGAACCAACCTTCCATCTCTGGGATTAACCTCATTTGAATTTTTTGATATGTTTTTTAATGCAATTTGCCATAATTTTATTGAGAATTTTTGCATCTATGTTCATCAGGGATATTGGTCTAAAGTTTTCTTTCCTTTATGTGTCCTTACCTGGTTTTGGTGTCTGATTTTGTTATCAGGGTGATATCACTAGCTTCATAGAGTGAGTTGAATAGTTTCCTCTTTTTCTATTTAATGGAATAATTTGAGGAATACTGGTGTTAATTCTTCTTTGAAGGTCTTGTAAAACTACGCTAAGAATCTGTCTGGTCCTGGGCTTTTCTTAATTAGTAGGCTTTTGATGGCATCTTTTATTTCGTTGTTTGAAATTGATCTGTTTAAAGGGTGTATGACCTACTGATTCAGTTTGAGTAGGTCATATGTCTCAAGAAATTTGTTGATGTTACAAGATTTTCTTTTTTTATTGGAGTATAGACTTTCTAAATAATTTCTGATTATCTTCTGTATTTCAGTAGTGTCTGTTTTCATATTTCATTTTTCAGCATGAATTTTAGTAATTTGAATTTTCTCTTTCTCTTCATTAGCATGGCTAAGAGTTTATCAATTTTATTTATCTTTTCAAAGAAACAACTTTTGTTAATATTCAGAGTTGTTTGTTGTTGTTGTTGTTGTTGTTGTTATAATTTCATTGATTTCAGCTCTGTATTTAATTATTCCCTATCTTCTATTGCTTTTGGTGTTGATTTGTTCTTTCTCTAGGGCTTTGAGATGTAATGTTAGGTCATTTATTTATTGACTTTCTATTATTTTAATGGATGAGCTTAATGCAATAAATTTTCCTCTTAGCACTGCCTTCACAGTATCTCAGAGATTTTGATATATTGTATCAATATTCTCATTTACCTCTAAGTATTTTTTATTTCATCCCTGATTTCTTCTGCTATCCATTTGTTATTTAATAGCATATTATTTAGTCTCCAGGCTTTAAAATAGCTTCTTTTTTAAAAATTTTATCATTGATATCTAATTTCATTCCACTATGATCTGATAGTATGAAGAGTATTCTCTCTCTCTCTCTCTCTCTCTCTCTCTCTCTCTCTCTCTCTCTATTTGCTAAGAATTGTTTTGTGGCATAAGTTATGGTCTATCTTAGAGGATTCATGTGCTGCTGAGAAGAAAGTGTATTCATGTGTTGATGGATGAAATAGTCTATAAATATCTGTTAAGTCTAAATTATTGATTGTATTATTTAATTCTGTAGTTTTTTTGTGTGTGTGGTTTTTATTTGGAGAATCTATCCAGTAGTGACAGAAGTGTATTAATGTCACCCAGGATTATTGTACTGTGGTCTT